GATTAGGATTGGGATTAGGAATAGAGTTGGGATTAAGATTGGGATTAGGATTGGGATTAGGGTTGAGACAGGATAAAGATTGGGATTGGGATTAGGATTGGGTTTAAAATAAATATCAGATTGGGATTAAGATTGGGAGCGGGATTGGGATTAGGATTAGGATTGGGATTATTAGGATTTGGATTAGGATTAGGGATTAGGGTTGGGATTAAGATTAGGATTGGGATTAGGATTAAGATTAGTGTTGGGATTAAGATTAGGATTAGGAATAGGATTAGGGATTAGGATTGGGATTAAGATTGGGATTAGGGTTGAGACAGGGATAAAGATTGGGATTGGGATAAGGATTAAAATAAATATTGGGATTGGGATTAAGATTGGGAATAGGATTGGGATTAGGGATTAGGGTTGGGGCTCCAGGCAGGGACATCCCAGGATTCTCTGGGAATTCCTTCCCAGCTCCCCAGGAATCACCAATCACCCAGTAAACCATTAATCAATTAATCCACCACTAGTTAATCACTAATTAACCAATCAGTATCCCATCAGCAATTTATCACCAACTACTCATTAATCAGTAATTAATTGCTAATCGCTAATCGATCTTTTACTAACTAATCAAGCACTAATTAATCCCAAATCCATCACGAATCACCCATTACCCAATCACAAGTTAATGAATTACTAATAATTGTTAGTAGTTACTAATTGTAGCTGTTATTAATTAATTAGCCAGCTATCAGTCACTAATAGGCGGCTGATCAGAGGCTAATTAATGGCTAATTAGCGGTTAATGAACGAGTGCTGACCTGGCTGATGCTCTGTGCCACCAGGCAGCCGAGGACGCTGCCGGCGCCCACGAACAGGTAAACGTGGGATTGCTCCGGGAAAATCCGGGAATGGGGCCGGGAATGGGGCCGGGAATGGGGCCGGGACGGCTCCGGGCAGCGCGGGGACCCCGCCGGGAATCCCAGCTCGGAATCCACCAGAGCCAGAACCTCCTGTGCCTGCGGGAACAACCGGGATTAACGGGGAATGATGGGATTGACAGCGGGGATTAACGGGGAATAACAACTGGGATTAACGGGGAGAAATGGGATTAACAACAGGAATTAACGGGGAAAATGGGAAATAACAACTGGGATTAACAGGGGAAAATGGGATTAACAGCTGGGATTAATGGGGAAAAATGGGATTGACAACAGCAATTAAGGGAGATTAACAACGGGGATTAACGGGGGAAAATGGGAATTGTTAACAGGAATTCATGGGAACAATGGGAATTGACGGGGAAAATGGGATTAACAATGGGAAATAACGGGGATTAACAATGGGAATTATCAGGGAATAATGGGATTAACAACGGGGATTAACGGGAAAAATGGGAAATAACAGCGGGGATTAACGGGGGAAAACGGGAATTGTTAACAGGAATTCATGGGAACAATGGGAATTGACGGGGAAAATGGGATTAACAATGGGAATTAACGGGGATTAACAACGGGGATTATTGGGGAATAACGAGATTAACAGCGGGGATTAACAATGGGGAATAATGGGAAATAACAACTGGGATTAATGGGGAGAAATGGGATTAACAACGGGAATTAACGGGGAAAAATGAGAATTGTTAATAGGAATTCACAGGAACAACGGGAATTAACAGGGATTAACAACTGGGATTAACAATGGGAATTAGTGGGGAAAATGGGAAATGACAATTGGGATTAACAGTGGGAATTAACAGGGATTAACAACGGGAATTAACAGGGAAAAATGGGAATTGTTAATGGGAATTCATGGGAACAATGGGAATTGATGGGGAAAATGGGATTAACAATGGGAATTAATGGGGATTAACTACGGGGATTAACAACGGGAATTATCAGGGAATAATGGGATTAACAATGGGGATTAACGGGGAAAACTGGGAAATAACAGCGGGGATTAACGGGGGAAAATGGGAATTGTTAACAGGAATTCATGGGAACAACGGGAATTGATGGGGAAAATGGGATTAACAACGGGGATTATTGGGGAATAACGGGATTAACAGCGGGGATTAACGGGGAATAATGGGAATTGTTAGTGGGAATCACGGGAATTCCTGGGAAAATGGGAATCATGGGATCACAGGGGAAAAATGGCAATCACAGGAATTCCAAGGAAAAACGGGATTTGCCCCAGGAACTCCTGGGAAACTGGGATGGGCACTGGGAATTTCTGGGAAAATGGGACTCATTCCCAAAAAAAAGGCTGGGTTTGCACAGAGAATCAGGATTTAGGGATTGGGGTGGGATGGGAATCTGGGATCGGATCCCACTGGGATTTGGGATTTAGGGGTCAGATCCCATTGGGATTTAGGGATTGGGATGGGAATTAGGGATCAGATCCTGCTGGGATTTGGGATTTAGGGAGCAGCTTCCCTCAGGATTTCGGGGTCAGATCCCACTGGGATTTGGGGACTGGGGTGGGATTTGGGGCTCGGATCCCATTCCCAAAGGCAATCCCAAGGAATTCCCGGTACCTTCCCGATGGCGTAGTTGGGGTCCCCGGGCAGGATCAGGACGATTTTGCCATCCCAGAATTCCCCCACCACGCGCTCCTTCTTCCAGCCCTGCCGGAAAATCCCAACAAAACCCTCAGCAGTGGGGGATCCCAAAATTCCAGGATTGGAGGATCCTGAGATTCTGGGATTGGGGGATCCTGGAATTCCAGGACTGGGGATTCCCAGGATCCCAAGATTGGGGGGAT